ATCTATTACCAAGATTAACAAGCTCAGTGAGATGGCAAATAATAAACAGGAGATATCAATAAAGTGGTTGATATGGATGCAGAGGAAAATGAGAAACGGATAGATGTACTGCCTAATATGCTGTGTTCCAAGGGATTTCACTATTATATAAATTTTGTCTAAATTGCAAGACGATAACACATAGTGTAATCTGCAAAACGAAGAGTGCTAACCACCACACCCAGAATAATAAACAGAAAGCGTATGATTACTTTTTTAAAAGTATGCTGTGCCACAATATGTAGTCCGGATAAATGCGACGCTTGCATCTCCTAATCACCTTTTGGTAATTCTTGCTACTGCTAACTACTTTCTAATCATTCTATACTAATTTATTTAATAATTAATGTCTTGCAACATTTCAACCGGAAGGGCGCTTCTTAACTATGGACAAAAAGGATTGACTTTCAGATGCGGGCAACAGTCAACTATGGGTAACGCCTAAAATGCCATGACAACATGGCGATTTTAAAAGTAATCAAGACCAGGATTCCAGTTTTTTGATGGGTTTTGTCGTGCGTCCACCCACAGAGTATAATACAATTTCCACACTGTTTAAATGAACCGGCTATCTCACGAGTATATCGAATATTCAGTAAGTGTGAAATTAAACAGAGGGTAAACCGGATAATTAAAGGGGTGAATATTAAGGTCTTTTCTTAGAATTAGCCATCTAATGAGTTGGAAAGATTTATAGATAGACATGTCGAAAATCACTGCATTGAAGAAAGTTGAGTCTGCATTCAAATGAGAAATTGTTTGAAGATAAGGAATGGACACCTAGAGTGGCATGTGTATTAGTTTTAAGAAAGTATTTATATCAGGAATTCCTCTGTCGACATAGTTTTAATTTCAGATCACCAAACATTCTCAGTGTTTTTAAGTATGATATTATGGATGACAGGATGTCTATAGCCTACTATGTTATAAATGGTTCAAGACTGTGGAGCATGGTACTACTTTAAGAACAGCAATGACGGAGCTTTTCTATAAAAATGAGGCAGATGCATTTGATAAGAAGGTTAAGCTAAAAAAATGTATTGAGATATCTTTGCACGAGGCTAGCAAAACAGAGGGGCTTGATCCTTTTTACAAATTAGAGCTGCTAGTGGGTCATAGGGGACATTAGCTGACAATCAATTTGCAGGAAAGTTGGAACTAATTAAAGAAAATTCTGATGGTGTCGATTTTGATGAAATCCATTGTAACACATATCGTCGAATTGTATAACATACCGCAAAATGTTATCCGGATTTGATTCTATCATCTAAAGTGTTTGTCAAATTGTTCTATTATTCAAACCGTTTGTGGGAAGAGAATGTTTTAGCATGCTTAGAAATTCCAGACAAATATGGCTATTATGAAATGTTCTTCAATGAACGTGCAATTAATGAAAAAAAATTATGAAATCAAAATTGCCTCTAATTTCCCGAAACTCCTAGTTCTGGTTATTTGAATGTCTCCCTGACCACCCGATACATATATTCGAGTCTCTAGGGAAAGGAATACCAATGGAAGAGTGGAGTATGGTAATGTAAATGAAGTTATCAAAGCGACTAGAGGAGCTCCATCTATTAGGAATTTCGCACAATGATATGTGGCTGACTAACGTTCATGTCTGTTTCTGGTAAATTTCTTTAATAGATTTTGGTCTAGCAGATTGTTCAAATAATGGAGAGTATAAACAGAATGATTTAAGGTCTCTTGACCGCATATTCGGGACATTTAATAATAGTGGATATGAAATCGGTCATAATAGGTCAGAAAACTCTGACAGTAAGTATGGAAGCGATAATAATTCTTTTGAAGAAGCCTTTTTTGATGACGTAAGCTTAGAATCTGAATAAGAACAACAAAAGATGTCACTTCAAAGAATTCCCAAAGATAATGGTTAGTATGCACGTTACAGGTATCTTATAAGCCTCTTCAAACATGGAATTAATGAACTGATTTACTCATGTGGTCGCCGAATGAAGCTAACTTAGTAACGCTTTCAGGATTTGCTATTCATTTTATATGTTGAACAAATAAAATAGCAAATACTAAGCAACTAATAATTTCTAAATTACGTAAGATACTTCTGGAGGTATTCAATATCCTCATTGAAAGATGAATATTGGCTTTCAACAAAGGTTAGCATTTACAACCTCTTTACAGAAAAAATTCCACAGAGCATACACCGGAACGAGGTAAAGTTCATAAAATATTGGTTTCGATTATGTATGTCCACTATCTTTGTGGCCCGTTCGAGGAATTACCTTCCTTTGTTTTACTGGTAATATCATGAAAAACCTCTTTTCACTTCAATCATTGTTATTATTACCTGCCTCATTAAGAAGTACTTCAATTTCTTGGTTCTCCTGATTGAGTTTATGATCATTTTCATTAGAGCCATACATCCCCAATATGAAATCAAGAGAATCAAAATCAAGCTTTTTACGTTTCTCGTTATTTGAACTTTCCCGCAATCAAAAATCTATCAAAGAAATTTTACCTGACAGTAAATAAATGTTGTCGAGCCTAGAGCCATTGTGTGAAATCTCCAACAGGTGAATCTTGCTTGATAATTTTGTACACTTTTTTGTTATTCCACCTTTCTTCTGTGATTTCTCTTCCTAAGTATTCAAATATATGCATCGGAATCGGGAAGGCCGTTCCAGTAAATAGAAACAAGAAGTTTGAGAAATTGGAACATAGCAATTTTTTAGTTGATTGCAAGTTCATTGAAGAACATCACATAATAATCCTTTTTTTCTGGTATATGGCAACACATTATATTATTTTCTTCCCACAACCAACTAGAATAATAGTATAATTTGACAAAAACATGGAATGGGAGATTCAAGTCAGGATAAAATTCGGTAGCATCGTATATAAATTCTCTTGTTTCCCATAAATGGCATCAACGTTATTACTATCATCATTTTCTTTTACAGATCTAACTTGCTTGAAACTCTACTGTCCTACAATTTTCTTGAAGATCCATAAAGAATTTTAGGCAGAACGTCCAGAAATGGTCAATATCAAAGCTTCAGTGCTTTAGTAAAGTATTTAGTATTATACCAGCTCTTTCTTTTTTGTCCTTTCTATATGCTCATTGCCATAAATACGTTAAAACTTAAAAAATAGACACTTTCACTTGCAAATAAAATTTTATTTTCTTGATGAGCGATATATTGTAGATGTGAGGATTGAATTGTGGATAGTTGCAGATCATCCAATGAAAACCAGGTAAAGATCAATTAGTATTAATATCAGTCAATGTCCTGATGAAAGAAACTAGCTAGCTTCCTGACCTCTCCATAATAAAGGTTAAACTAAAGTACGTAATATTTATTATTCAAATTAAAAACAGAGTTTGGACTCAAAATTTTAATAAAATCAAACGATCACATTGAAAATACTTGCATTGAATTTCTTGGAATGGTCAGCGATTTACATGCATGCAGATAGAATTTGATATAGCTTAGTCTGAGCGCATTGGTTTCTAATTTTGAGGGCATTCAAATTATTTTTCTCTTATGACAAGCGAAAGTCTCTAAATTTTTCAAATATTGTTGACTATCAATACAAGTTTGAAATGCTATTGTAATAAAACTACGTTTTTCTTGAAAAATCGATAAAGTAAAGAATATCTTCATACAGTCCGGGCGTTCTCTTATTTAAATAGAAGAGAATCTGGAAAAGCTTAAAGGCATATACTATAATCGTAAATTATATTCGTTGGATCAGAAACGTATTAAAACAAACCTGAAAGCATTAAAAATCTTTGAATTAACTATGCATGTGATACAAATCAATGTCTGCATCATAAGAAATTATTTTCGACATTCAGTTTAATCATTTCAATCTATAAGCATTTTGATCTTCGTTTGAACGTTTGAATGTTACTCGTAACCCATTTTTTTGTGTTCTCAGAGGCTCACAACATGGACGCACCATTTATGCATAAATTTGCAAATAACTCAGCTCTGCATGAAAAATCATAGAGATTTATCTGCCGTATTCATAGACTGTTATTATCACTATGCAAAATAGAAGAATGTAGACTATTTGATATCGCATTACATATATGTATATATCTAGATAGGTTTAGATCAGTTATGATATATGAAAACTCCATAATCTCGTTTTCTTCAATTTTTGATTCGCAAGAGTATTGAGATTCTAGATTAAGCGCTCCAGGATCTCAGCTGCAATAATATCGGATCGATTTTTGTTTTTCTCTCAGCGCGCATACAGCCATAATGATTTTAGAGCGCATAATGCGCTCTAATTGATTACACAAAGTTGAAATACGAAAAATTAATTCTGCGAATCGGGCATATCAGATTTATCTGATAAACAGCTTAAAATAAATTTTACAATTTTTATTATCTTGAGTTCATCCTTAGTTCCTATGTTGAAGAGAATTTTATGGCTGAAAGGATAGCAGTATAGAAGATCTAATTGTGCGATAAATAGGGAAAGATCTACTTGTAATATTGGAACAAGTAGATCTTACATACATGCTTTCTTCGGGTTGTAATTTTGTTTATTCATGAGGGTGAGAGATTTACGCATGATAATATGCATACCAAGCTTTTTTTTTATTATCATTTCTGTCGATCGGCTCAACAACTAGATTCATTGATGAGCTGCTTGAAATATTTAATAGCAGCAGCGCTTGACACTTCTTGCTTTTAGTTTTTTCAGTACGATAATAATGTCAGACAGAAGAATTTCTCTGAATACAGAAAACGCTATAACATCCACACCCTCTGCAATGGGTACCAGTGTAAACAACTATACTGAAGCAGACAAGACTACTGAAGTAAAGGAGACCAATAATGAGTCTGATTCGGAACTAAATGAGATCCACTTGCTCAATTCCAATATAGAAACTGAGTACAAAAAGTCTAGGGGTGTGAAAAGGATCGAGAATGTAAAAATCATGATGAGTTCGGCTGAACATGGTAAGGCTATCACAATCGCATTCTGTACGTGTCTTTTAGTGATTGCATGGATTGGTTCTTTGGATTCTTCAACGACGCCCAATTATGCTATTCCCGCTGCTTCCAATTTCAGTAGACACTCAATGATTTCTACTGTTGACATAGCAACAGGGATAATCGGTTCCGTGGTTTTACCTATTCTTGCCAAGTTCTCTGACATTACTTCCAGACCCATTTGTTTTGGCGTTTCTTTACTTTTTTATACTGTGGGAACGATTATTGCGGCTTCTTCTACGACTATTAGTTCTTACGTGGCTGGTTCAGTGTTACTTGCTGTTGGTTCGAATGGTACAGGCTTTGTGAAGGATATTATCGTTGCTGATTTAACAAGTTTAAAGTGGAGAGGTCTTGTAAATGCTATTATGACAACTCCGTACTTAATAACCGTCTGGTTCGCTGGTTTGATCGTTGACGCCGTCTTGAAAACCAACTGGAGATGGGGATACGGTATGTTTTCTATTATCATGCCCGTAACCGTATTTCCAGCTATTTATGTGTTGTATTACTTTGAACACAAAGCACAAAAGTTTGTTCCTAAGGTGGAGAAGGTAAAGGTATCGGTTTGGAAAATCGTCTGGGATGCTGCAATTGAAATCGATGCTTTCGGTTTGCTTCTCTTAGGCTTTGGTTGGGCTTTGTTTTTATTGCCTTTCTCCTTGTACTCTTACGCTGAAAATGGTTGGGCGAACCCTAGTATAATTGCAATGCTTGTAGTTGGTCCCGTATTATTGGTAATTTATACGGTATATGAAATTTTCTGGGCCCCTTTCCCTTCTATGCCTAAAAGAGTGCTCATGAACAAGACATTTATTACCGCTGTCGTTATCAATGTTATATACATGATGGCAGATGGAATTAGAGAACAGTACTTGTCCACTATTCTTTGGATCGCTAAGGATTGGTCAGATCAAAATTGGACTTACTTCAATAACACCTTGACTATGTCTTTGTGTTTCTTTGGCGTTATAGCTGGAATCACTTGCAGAATCACGCACCGTTACAAATACATGCAATCTTTCGGTATTCTAGTCAGAGTTATATCTTATTGTCTTCCTCTTAGAGCTCAGGGAACACTCGCTGATACTGCTTCATTCGTCATGTGCCAAGTCTTAATGGGGTTCGGCTCGGCTTATTCTACAATTGGTACCCAAATTAGTTCACAGGCATCTGTTCCTCACCAAGATTTGTCTTTAGTTATGTCTTTGGTCCTTCTTTGGTCAACTATTGGTAGTGCTATTGGTAGTGCTATTGCTGCTCCAATATGGTCATCAAAAATGCCCGCATACTTCAGAGAATTTATTCCAGATACTTACACTGACGAGGAAGTTTACGGTTTCTACACAGACATGAGCTCTTTGAGGGCCATGCATTACGATTCTGATGCCAGACAAGGGGCTATTAAGGCATTCTCATATGTTGCTATCTACATGTTTGCTCCCCCAGTTGCTATGGAATTTATCAACTTTTTATTGAGTTTCTTGCAGACCAACTATTACTTGGGTGATACTCATAATGCCATTGAAGACCAGGATGGCAAAGATCCAACCGATCCTGATAGGGAAAAATACGTTCCGCAAAATACTAAAGAGAAAATTATGTATCTCCTCAGCTAATAATATTTTTCAATTCTTTCGGTCTTTTTCTAAAAGGTACCATAGATTTTTAGAATCTATTTAATTACTGCTTTTCTAGTTGGTAATCTTAAAAAATTCAAAAAAATGAATGCTTTCTTCCTACTGAGAAAGTATGCGCTCGCGCTCATAGGAGTCAAGTTATGTGAAGTTAAAATTAACATAGTATGATAACAATAAAACCTCACCTCTGAGAAACTAACACGAGTCTGTAGTATTGGATTTGTATTTCCAGAATATGGTCACATGGAGAGTTTTAATTTGAAGAAAAAGCAAAAGTTTCCACTAGTTCCAATGTTTCTCTCGAGCATATAGTACATTATTTGTATATAATCTCCGCGCTTTATTAGTGTGTTTATTAAATAGTTTGTTACTAAATTCTATAGTATACAAATAATATTTATTTGCACGAACTTCAATAGAAAGTAAATCGAAAACTGGATAATCAAATGCATTTTTTTGCTTCTTATCCCTCATTTATAGTTTCGGTCTATAATTGAGCAAAATCAAGTTAATCTTCGATATCCTACTCAGAATAACCAAGTTATACCATTTTGTTGAAGAACCGTTTTCTAATCTCGTTGATGGACTTTCGATACAATATTTATACTCAAAGCATTTTTCCGAGTATTTTCTGGTTCTTTTGCAACTCTGCATAAATGTCCATATATCCGGTAACTCTAAAATTAAGGATTTTATTTATAAAATTCAACTATATTTTTTAGCCATTGATGTATTTCAGGGCAGTATTATTTCTTCTGTTTATTACATTTCTTATTTTTTTGTCTCCTATAATTGTAAACTGTGTATATATCTACACGGTTTGATGAAATTCATAACAGGTGGAAGCCTTACAGGGCAAATTGATAGTTTTACAGTTCATTATTTAAAGTCCATTTGGCTTCTCGAGATATTGATAGAAAGAAGTATGAATCTGTTGAAGCTATAAAATTCACTTTCTAGGTTGGTTCCTTCTACTCGTGTTTGGTTTGGGTGCGATGAAGTTTTGTAGTTTTTATAGCTATAGCAAGCTTGAAACGATAAATGGATAAAAATCATACACTAAGTAGCTTTGAAAGGATGCCAGTAACCGACTAAGCCATCTATGAAAAGACCTGTTAGACTCGCAATTACTATTAAAGGTGTTTTACATTGTTTCACAATACCTTCACTAGGTACTAAATTCGATGGTTATAGTGGTCGTTCAAACCAAGTTAGTGTTTTAATACAAAGATCTGGAGTTTATTATTACCAATCTAGGGAGTTATGTGCAGTTAATGATGGATCAATGCCTGTCAAACTGAACTTGAACCTATTGATGATTTTGTAGGATGCCTAGAAGAGAAAAAAATTGTTTATGTAGCATAAAGGTAAAGAAGTGTATTGTTAACGATAGATTCTAGTTCGACTCCAGACTTAAACTTCGCATGAATAAACTATGTTATATTACTCTGTTGAGAATAAATAAAAAAAATAAAACAAAACAATCTTATGGATTAAGTAGTTTACTTGACAGTACAAAGTATGCTATGTTTAATACGGCGAGTGCCGCTGTATATTTATATAAAAGTTTTTGTATTAATGGGGATATTATTCCTTCTTTTAAATGTAAGAGGGATATTATCAAACTTGACTGACATAACCAAATCCCCAAAACTCCAGAGCCCTAAATTATTGGTTTACACAAACCGAAGCAACGCAATTGTTTACGTAGACATTCATTGGAATACATTTAGAAAAATCGTCTGAGGTTGTCTTTAAACAAATATATGAAACAGCTTTCGAACAACTGAAAAAAATAGCTACCCCTTAGTACAAAGAAAAATTACTCTAAACGTGTAATATTTTATGAACTATGATGTGAACGGATCTTATGACCTGAAGATCTTATACAGTTCAATATGCATATGTGATCAATTTATTTCAGTCTTCTACTGTAAACTCCGTGCGCCAATTTGAGGACAAAGCAGCTTTGCCGAATCTTAAGAAACCAGTCGATTGTTATATTATCAGAAGAACAAAATTGCTATTAAGAAAGCTACGTGCACATTAATAATTATATGTTAATTAAAAAAATAAGAGTTATTTCAATCATAGAATGCAACCATGTGGAAATTCATTAAGAAAAGTATTTCAGCAAAACAAATATAATCAGAAATTAGTAAATCATTAAAGAATATCAGAATATCGGTCCTACAGAGGAGCATTATTTTAGAGCTTTAAAATCTCGAAATGCTGTCAAAACCCTATGAACATTCAACTCAAAATCAACTCAAGCAAATTGCTTCTACAAGACGCATTTATACACAATTTAAAACTAATATACAAAATTAGTAATACTAAGTTCTAATCTATCAATCTAACTATTTCACAAATGCTTATAAATCAATTATTCTTTACAAAAATTTTAAAGCTTCTCAGTAGATTCAGATGCGATAGCAGCTTCATCTTCGTCTTGAAACTCGGTGTTTCTGAGTTTGCTATCAGCAGCGAGAGTTTGTGCAAACTTACTTCTTCTTCTAATTTCTGGTCCCATCCAATAAAAAATAAAAATTGGAATTGTTACAAGTGCTGCTAAACAAGCTAACAAGGTACTACCCCATTGAAGGTGGCGTTTTCCACCAATGTTTGAGTACAATGGAATTGCGTATAAGATGGATATACCTGCTAAGAAGTCACGAGCAAATCCGTTTCCACCAGTAGCAGATGCTGAATAAGGGCCATATGCTGCAATCATATAGTCAATTGTTGACATATAAATACTGTAATTAGCAATAGCAATCAAGCTTCCAAATATCATTGGAGCAATCCATGGATTGTAGTCAGGCCCCATAGAGGTCCAGGCAAACCCAAGCATTCCTATTGTCAATAAAGGAGCAAGAAAAAGTAACAAAAGAAGACGTCTTTCCGCAAATCTAGACTCTTCGCCATGATTCTTGATCAAAAACATTTGGCGGCCAATATCAGGAAGATGAATTAGATATGCAAGAATATAACCAATCAAAATCGGTATGAAAGCAAGCCCGCACTGAGTTGTAGAAAATCCCCATTGTTGATAAACTAAAGAAAAGCATTCCATAAAAATGAAAATCAAAGCATCAGAAAATCCAGAAAGGAGGGATAAACATAAAACAATTGGCTCTCTTAAAAACATTTCAAAAGGACGACGCCAAATAGCTAAAATTTCTTTCATCGTCAATTGATGTTTGTTGATTTCATTTGGTCCATAAATACCAATATCTTCTCCAGATTCACGGCGACGCTTGGCCTCTTTATCCATAAGTAAATCAACCCGAGTTTCACAAACAAGAAAAAAATGCAATATTTGAACAACTCCCCCCAAAATAAGTTGAATCCAAAAATTCCAATGCCATGAAAGGCGATCTGTTATTAAACCACCAAAAACTGGTCCAACAGCTGAACCACCAACTGAAGATAAAACAATGAACGCAACAGCATATCCTTGATCATTTGATTCCCACATATCTGCAACTATTGCTAATGTAACGGAACCACCTGCCAAAGAGATACCACCCAAGAAACGAGCAACAACAATAGTACCAAAATTTGGTGCGAGTGCACCTAAGATTTGCCAGATATTCATAAATGTCAAACTTAATTGCATTATTGGCCAACGACCGTATTCTTCACTCCATGGTGCCCATAACTCACAACCAAATGCATACGCAACCATGAAAACCATTTGAGATACTTTGGCTTTTACTTCTGAGACATTAAATTCTTCGCTAATTAAAGGTATAACATTGGGATATACACTAGCATTAAAGTTCATAGAAACTTGAACAGCAAATGTCACACTAAGGATGAGCCATTTCTTATGCGAAGGAAACGAAAAACCTAGCTTATCATAACAATCCATTTCACGAATTTGTCTTCTATCATCTTGATGTATAATCCCCGGATGCTTAGCCCTATGCTCTATCATTTCCTCAGTAGTTTTTCCATAATTAGCAGATGCAGCACTATCCCGCCTACTTCTACTGACCAATAAGCCACCTTCTCTTTCAGCCATATTCGGGATTTTGTTTTCAAAATAAATTAAGATAGAGAGTGAGAATTTAAATAATCTGGAAAACTTAGCAGATTATGAAATTATAAATACTCCAGCTACTTTATTCGGAATATTGCTATTCAAGCTGATGAAAAAAAAAAAAAAAAAAAACCATAAGTAGCCTTTCTTGTCATCTTTTTTTCTTGTACAAAATTATACAGCTTTCACTATCAACCACCTCCAGTATAATCTTTGGAATTACAGAAGCTTCCCTTACATTTACTTGAACATCACATAGACTGTATTTTACTTCTGATGCACCTCTAATAAAAGTTTACCGCTTATGCTAACGGAATAACCTGACGTACAGAGTGGAGTTGAGTGGGGCTCCGCAATTTTCCACAAAACATGTAATGCATAAAGAAAAAGAGATCATCTGTAACAAATTTGCGAAAATTTTCCCGCTCCGACTTTAACGAAAACGCTTATAACGCCATGAATTTTTAAACATTGTATATTATTCTATTAACATGCTAGTATTTACCGGTCAAGCTGTGAATCAAACGTTGAAACTTAAAAAAATGTAGCCAACAATAAGAACGTAAAATAAGGATCAATAAGGGAAAGTGCTCTAATAGGAAGATTATTCTGTCATCTAATAAATTTAATAGCTCACCTTTTTTCCGATTCTGAATCTTAATATGCAGTACTAGAACAGAGTGGCTTCGAGAATGTACCAAGTGCAGGCAAGAGAATGTGATTAGGAAAAAATCCTTTCCATCCGCCATCATTCAGCGTTCCAAATGCGCGTTCAATTCCTACCATGCAGAAAAATAGCACACTACTTACATCATCTGGCACGGGTTTCATCACACTTTAACTAAGTCAACACAGCAATTATAATTCCGTTGCAAGTAAATGTTGATTTTGGTCAACTTAGCATTTTATTAGTACGATAAGCATGTAAGTATTTTTATTACTAATTTGATTTTTTCCTTGTTATAAAAAGTATTTGATCTGTTGGTGCAATTTAGAATTCGGAGAAACTATTAATAGGAATATTTCAAGTACATGTAAGTCAAGGAAACATTAATAATAATAATATTGAGAATCTTTTAGAAAGTGTTCATCCGAATATTTAAAGCTATCTCTTTCTTCAACTGGTAGGTGGCCAATACAGGTAGCATTTGGTGTTCGTCCGTGTATTACTATTTTTGATTAACAAAATATCCCTCTAAAAATGTATTGGTTTTATTTGTAGCAGTGAACTTAGGTGAGTTTGTGGCGCATTATTTATTTGCTAGTAAAGCTTTATCTAACCATAGCGATTAATCTACAATACCATATCAGTAAGTTTAAATTTTTATTGCGATTTAAAGCAATCATACCAACTAATAAGATAGTTCTCAGAATTAATTTTCCCTTGACATATTTTATACCATTGGAATATTTCTTGTCCCCTGCATTATGTAATATAATATGTCGGATACTGATATTGTTACTAAGGTAAAACTTCTAGCATTTCTTAGTTCCCCTTGGGCCCACAAACTACTAGACTACGATTTCTTGCAAGTACCATTGTATACATAATAAGTATTCAAATCGCTAATGTAAAAGGAGACCTTTGGAATACATCCCCTCTTATGTATTTTTATCTTATCATTTGGGAGTCAAAGAGTCTCCAAGAGATTGATTAATTATTGTATAAATTTAGTTCCCTCGCGAGGCGACAGAAATTGTTCTCTTTCTTTAGTTCACTGAATAAGTTTGGGGATTCTTAGTACCCTTTTTATTCTGCCGGCTATGTTTGAATCGTAAGGGTTTACCGAAGCCTTTGGATGTTTAGGTGGGACTTCTTCACTTTGTATGTATGTTAGGTATAGCGCTAATCCGTGGTCTATAATAAACTTCAATAAATTTCTTTCATTGATTTTCTTTCATTGATTGGTTAAATTTAAGATAAATTGCAAGCTAGTGATTCTACATGAATCGTTTTCAAAACAGCTTAGGATTCGGGTTTCTGAATCTATCGAAGCGAAAGTTTAATTTTCAATAAGAGTCGGTCAAAATGACTTCTATCAATCATGACTTGACAGTATGAATGCTGATTTCTCTTCTCTTATTCATAAACTAAGGTTTATTATTATAATCAGACGTTTTAAGATATGTTATATTACAAGATGAAATGTTAAAATTCGAAGAGATAAAAACTATGCTAAATAATAAATTTTAAAATACCTTCAATTCTTAGAACTGAAGACAGGAATCTTATTACTCTTACGGAAATAAGATAAACGTCAAGATGTGAGGCGTCATAAAGAAACGGCAAAATTTAGTCGTACATTTTGTATGGTTAATTATGTAATACGGTTAAGTATCAAATGTGGAAAAACAGCCTCAGTGTTTACCAACTGTGGCATATAGTCTTTCCGTTGGTATCAAGAATGCTCATAATTCAACTTCCAAATAGACTAAGCTACTAAACTAAAAGTGCTCCTTGGACATGAGAACCGATTGAAATGAAGTTCTTTACAACAATGTAATACGAACATTGACTGATACAAATAATGTTTAAACATAATTAGGCATTGGTTGAAAGAGATTCTTGCTATTACGAATTATTGCACCACACTTTGACATCAAATGGCATATATTCTCAGTGGTGTATTACGATGATAATGAAATTATTTATATTGAATAATTTCTGTGGTATAAATGTTGACAATAAATGCTATCACAAATTTTTACTCTCAAAGATTATATTTCTCAAAAGATGACTATAGACTCCCCAATTCGTTCAGTAGCAATAATTGGCGGGGGTGCTGCTGGAGCAGCTACTTTACATTCTTTAGTAGCTGAGAATTACTTCAGTAAAATTCGCCTTTTTGAAAGGAACGATAGAGCTGGTGGGTTATGGTATGTCACTTTCCATATTTAAGCAAATATATTTGTAAATTTCAAACTAACTTATAAAAAAGGATATACGAAGAAGAACCCGATAGGCTACCCCAACTCAACTCAGAGTTTACTGAGAAGATTGAAATTCCCAACCATCTTCCAGGAAATTTTCCAACCAAAGGTCACCTGAAATTCAACAAATCTGCTACTTATGGTTACCTTGAAACCAATGTACCTGAACCATTAATGTCTTTCTCATACTCTAATTTTGCAGATGAAAGAACGGAAGAATCAGTAAAACTCTTCGGTCGAAAGCACCCTTTCAGACATCATTCTGTAGTTAAAGACTATATTCAGAAAGAGATTGCAAAATTTGAAGATTTGGTCCAGTATAATACTTCTGTGGAAAAGGTCGTAAAACGTGGAGGAAAGTGGACTATTTCCTTGAGGGTTATCAACAAAAATATTAAGGGACAGGATTATTGGTATGAAGAAGTATATGATGCTATCATTGTGGCGAATGGTCATTATTCTATTCCTTATATCCCTAAAATCTCAGGATTAGTCGAGGTACAACAACAAAATTCTGAAATAATTGAACATACTAAATCTTTCAGAAAAGTTTCTAACTATAAGAATAAAAAGATATGTATTGTTGGAACTGGAACTTCAGCAACCGATCTAATTAGTGATACTGTTGGCCAATCTAAAGGTCGAATTATTGTGTCATCCAGAAGTGAACCTGGAGAGCTTTTCAAATCTTCGTTTGGCGATAACAAGAATGTTTTAATTAAACCTGAAATATCCAAGATTTATATCTCAGATGATAAGCTTACAGCATCCATTGTATTTGTAGACGGGTCAATTGCTGACGATGTCGAAAGAATTATATTCGCTACTGGTTATCTATACAACTTCCCCTTTTTCAGAAATAATGAGGTTACAGTTAACAAGAGCAACAGAGTTGAGAAGCTTTATCAACACATTTTTAAAGTAGGGGATCCAACATTATCATTTGTGGGTATAGTAGTTGCGTCTATTACTTTTAGGATATTTGAGTATCAATCAACATTAATTTCAGGTATTTTAAGGGGTCGTATTTCCCTACCACCAATACAAAAGCAACTTCAATGGGAAGAGGAAAGAATAGCTAGCAAAGGAGATTCTCGTGCATTTCATGTAATTCCACCCGAATATCAAAATTATTATCAAGATTTGCTTGACTTGGTTGGGCCTTATCATGGTCTAGGACATCAATTAGAGCCATATAACGAGGAATGGGAAGGGATACTCAATAATGCAATTTCCTTGAAATTGAAATATTGGACAAGGAATATAGAGCCATAAACAAAACACTGTCGGTGCTTTGAACTATTTATTAAGTTATCATAAAAGTCATTCCTCAACTTTTGTTATTGACCTGTTTTAATAGTTTTTCTTTAGATTTTAAATATCACTCAAAGGATAACCCCACGAAATAATGAAATGGTGTCCAGTTTCTAGTTTAGTGTAATTTATTGTAGATTCATGAATTCAGTTCATGGGTGGTTTTATCCCAGGGTCTAAGCATCTTACGTTGTATTTCGTTCTTCTTGATGAAAAGATTAATCACCAGGCTTAAATGCAATTTCAATTTAATGCATAGTATTATTCCTCAAATTGCGATCTAATTTTAGAACCACGCTCTTCCTGATTGTTCAACTACGAATCTAAACCCGTGTGAATCGTCTATGATGCAAGCCACCTATTAAACAAAGGAATGTATAGGTTATTGGCTAACAAAGATTTCGCACTAGATATTACGATATTTCATATTATCTACAACAGAACATGTTGATATTGGGTTTGGGAAGATCATTGCATTACATGGGTTGATTTTCAGTTATTTTAACATACCTTTAATCATACATCGGGTTCATACAGCTATATGATTGTATACGATGGTTATGAAAATACTAATCTAATATATTTGAATTTCTTGTCAGCTACACGATTCCAGGAAGAGTGGACCTATGACATAGACTAAGATATTAAGTCTTAGCTGCTAGAGCAATTTTATCTATTGCTTCGTATATACCTTTGCATGTCTTGACTAACATGAATTTATTAGCATTACCTTTCGACAAGGGTTGCGAGCAACTATCTAATTTTCAAAAGCGTATTTGGAACTATCCCAAAGCGCGGAAAAAGTTCCCGAAACATATGAGTTCTCGATCCTAAACCTAAATCTTGATATGCATACATTGCATACATTATATTCCTGCAGTATAAGAATACCTGAGATTGGCTGCATATTCAATATAATAGAAGAAATGTTGGGTTGTTTTTATGCGAGATCCCTTAATTAAGAGTAGCAATAGATTTGCTGGCTTTATTTAATTCTAATAATAGCAAGATATCGTAATTGAAGTTATAATAGGTAAGTGCGCAAAAAGGTACACGCTACAAACTAAATTAGTAGAACAATTAATATGAACAAAGAGTAGAATAAGGTGGGTTATGTGGACCGGCGTGCAAGGTCTTATTCACTTATCTAAGTTGTGGGCTGGATTCCGTTGTATAGATTAAATTAATCAGAACTAAACTATGATAAATATTCACTGGGGGTTATGTATACCCCATCGTCCCAAAACATCTCAGAATTCATCGCTTTTGGAACCAAGTAGCACACATAGCAAGTTGTAAGAAGAACGTCATTTCTATATAAATATACCTTATTTTGCTTCTTAAAAACATTTTTTATTAGCAGCATAGGATTTCTTATTAACAATGGTCAAATTATCTATTGGTTCACTCGCTATTTTCACATCGTTATTAACTGCTAGCGCAGTTGCAAAGGACGTTGTCTGTTTGGTAAATGAGACCCCAGTTGCAACCGTCGATTTAGACACTGGCGTTTGTCCATTCAAGCTCCCATCTGAATTACTTGCATTCTTTAATTTCAATGCAACTGATGATTACAACATCCAATTCTATTATGCCATTGCAAACAGCGCAAGATTTTTTACAGATATCGAAAACTCAGGTACTCAAATTGATATTCCTGCTAACTTGATTTACGGTACCGATGGTGCTCCAGTCTATCAAGTTCACGTTCAAGATAGCCCTTCATCGAACTCTACTGAAGCTATCAGAAAGAGAATGATGAACAAAGTTGATATCATTAAGAGAGATGAAGCGTCCGACTTTGCTGAATCGTTAAAGGGAACTGATGGTACTTTGGTCAATTCTGCTCTTTTTAAAGTTGTTGATGTCGAAAGTGGATCATCTTCGTCTGCTGTTTCAACCAGCGTTCCTATTTCTTCAGGTGTCGAAACTGTTCCTCCTGTAACCGAAACATTTGAATCCACCAAGATTATTACTGTTACCCACTGTTCTGACAACAAGTGTTCTGCAACTACCGTTCCAGCTACCCCAACCGTTACCACATGTACTACTGACGGTACTGTCACTACTTTCACGACGTACTGTCCTATTACTACTGAGACAAATACGCACACTGATGTTGTTACTGTCACACACTGCTCTGACAACAAATGTTCTGAAACTACTGTTCCAGCTACACCAACCTTAACTACTGAAACTATTGGTGGTAGTGTCACTGTATACACTACTTACTGCCCAATAAGTGAGATTTCAGGTACGGAAACTCCTGCTCCAGGTACCACTGTTGCAGGTG